GATGGGGACTTTAGCTGGGAAACTAAGTACAGCACATGAATTATTCAAGACAATAAATAACAACATTCGAAGATATCATTTAGATAAATGATTTCAAGAGTGATATAAGACAACTATACTGTCTTTATGTATTCACTCGTTTATATATACGTATACAGGTAAAATAACATTAAACGAAGTTGACCACCAACATAAACCTGGACTTGTTAACATGCATTGTGGGCAGAGAAATTACGGATAGACAGCCCCTAAATTGTTCTATGTACTACCCAATGATCTTAATATTATACTTAAAACAAAAAGCTTTAAGCAAAGGGTGAAAAAATAAATTTTCGTCACCAACTGCGTGGAAGGACGGAATTAGGGTATTTATCTCAACTCTTTAAGTTCACTTACTGATCTTCGAAAAAAAATTCTAGTACATTCTGTAAAATACTTAATTACACACCGATCTAGCGTGCGGAAAGCGTCACTTTACAACGTGAGTTTTTTTTTCCACTGATCCGAGCCACTTCGGACAGTCAGTGAATGTATTCGTGTTGTTCTGCAAAATTGTACCCAAAAACTACCGGTCGTAGAAAAAGTATAGTATACAACACAAATAGTAAACTCTTTATGTCACTCGTTTATTAAACACTCGTTCCGTTGCGCTCCGCTCGTGCCAAATAAACTCGTGACTCAAAAGCCGTTTGCCACACTTATTGCATAATAAACTATTATTGATTGTGAAGACCCTATACGCACTGTGTCAAGAAGTTTTCGCTACTTCAGTGGATTTTTTGCTTTTTTGTATATTTTATTTATTATGTACTTAAACAGTATTATTATTATTCTTATTATTATAGAACGGATATTGAAGTTAAGTAAAAAAAGTTTATCAGCAATCACGGCAAGTGTGCCACTTTCTCAATTTCAGGTGGCAACAAACTCCGAATATGGATTTTGTGAGACAAGCAAAGCATTTAATCTTATTGTATTGTACATGGTCTAATTTTGTTGTATAAAAAATGAATAAAGTATTTTCTTTTCTATATAATAACAATATTGGTAATAACGCTGACATTATTTAATAAAATTTTATTTCAATATATTTAACAATAATTATTATAAAAATATCTGTTCAAGTTCGGCGCAAGTTTAGCCTTTGGCTACTTTGCTGAACTAAGCACAGACGTGGTTTATAATATTATGTTAATTCTTTTTAGACTGAGTTAAAAATATTTCTTTTATACATTATAAATTCGGTTTTTATTAAATAAAAATAACTGAATGCTTTACTTGCTTTTTTGTGTGTGTGCGTGCGGGAAGCGTCATTTTACCGCGTCAGTTTCGTTTCCCACGAATCCGAGCCACTTCGGACATTTCCGGGATTTTACCACACGGATTTGGGAGCAATCGGATGTTTTCGGACATATTTAACACGCTTTGAATTTTGACGTTTGTCAATTCTGACGGTCATGTCAGTGAATGTATTCGTATTGTTTTGCGAAAAGATACCCGTAAAACGTCGTAAAAAAGTATACTATGCGGCAAACTTTTTAAGTCACTCGTTTATTAAACACTTGTTGCATAATATACTATTATATTCCTTTTTAAAAAGTTGTACTCCCATATGAAGGAGATTTACGAGGTTATAATAAAAATGAGCGCAGAAATATGACACTGCAATGATGTGGAATGGTTAATTTTACGTTATATATATACGATAATATAATCATTTTCGGTAGGGAAACTGACGGGTTAGGGTTAATTATTATATTGACAAAAAAAGTCGAAAAATTTAATATTATACGCTCGTCCTTTTTAAGCCCATTTTATATATGCATATCATCGTTCGATTTCAGCGTTATACGCAGGATGAATCCAGAAGATTTGTAAATAGTAATTTATGGAATATTTTTTTGACTTGTTCTTTAAATCTAAACTTATCGTCTGAAATAAAACCCAGATTTTTGACAAAGTTTTAATTTTGAATTATTAATGGCTATATTTAAACTATGTTTTAGAAAATTGACATTCTTATCATTGCCAAAGACAACGCACAATTTATCTGGATTAAAATCAGACTTTTGGTATTCTGGTCTTATTGATTTAGCAATTATAATATTTCAAATATTTAATTTTTTTTCCTTTTGCAAGAAATAAGAAATGTTAATTTAATTTGCGTATTTAGGTAAATACGAGGGTATTTCATTTTTTATATAATATTCCTTAAGAAATATATACCGCTATATTCCGACCAATATATTTTTTGAAAACATTATATTTCCAACTTGTGTGCGCTTTTTCCGAAAGTTATTTAAGAAGTTACATTATCATAAATTTTGTTTTATATAAATATTATTTTATACAAATGTTATAAAAATATTATAAAGTAATCAAACAACGGTACACCTTTTTTACGTTTATATTATTTTTCCATTATAAAATTTGCCTCATTTTTATAAGTAAGACATTGCCGTTCCATTTTAGATAGACTTCAGTGTTTTATTTTCATCGACATTATTGCAACCCCCGACAACCAATAAAAAAAAAATTAAATTTTGTGAAGGTCTGGATCAGAAGAAAGTTTTTGTTTCGCATTCGGCTGAAAAATGCTAATTTTATAGTCTATTCCTGTTGGCTATCATATCTAAAGCTCGCACGTTGTTACCTCTAGTGGTGCAACGTGATTAGTCTACACTCCAAACTGAATTAGTTTTCTTATTAATTGTTTGTTAATAATCTTAGGTTAAACACAAAAGCAAATAAGTTCTCATAACTTTCAGCTTTCGGTTAATAAGATTTGAATAGGGAAACTAAAGTGAATTGAAATTCTCTGGGAACGCATAAAATCCATTCCATTTTTATCTTTTCGCTTCCCAAGTGGGTCGCCATTGTTTGTCGGTTAGAATTAATTGGTTGCGAGTATTTCGCCAAAGACAATTTATTTTCAATTTAGTGGTGGTGTTTCTAAGTGGCGTAAGGAGTTTTTTATTTTATCGAAAAAAGGAAATATTATATGGGAAGGCTGTAAATATACTTGTACAAATATACTTACTTACGCTAATACATTTGAAACAATGATCCAGCTTGAGAAGTTTACTTGATATGCATTCGACAACCCCCCTCCCCTGCCCATTATTAAGTATACCCAAAAAAGTCTTCACTTCTGCTACTGTTATCCATTTCATTTAGATCTTTAATTTTTTTAAATTAAAAAGTGGTTCTCTCTCTTCAGCAACTTATGCCGATCCGATGTTATCTGATGGAGGCAAAAACAAGCACTATAAAAATTTTATTTTGCAGAAAAATTTACATCATACCACTTAAAATTCAAGAACCTGCTCTCTGGAAACTAATTTCAATCGCAGCTAAATTGAAACTGGACTATAATAGAAGACATTTTTTTGATAATGAACACCGAATAGCACAGACGTAATTGACAATAATGTATTTATTTTACTATATGATAGAGGAATTTCAATGTTAAAAAATCAAAATCTTGTGCCCTTGTCTTTAAAGAGAGGGCGAGAAAATTCCTTTTCTCTGTACATCAAGCCCCTAAAAAACTGAATTTTTAATACACGAACCTTGTTCCAGAATTTTATGATATTCTGTTTCTTAATGCGAGAGAGTTGTAAATCATTATTGAACTGTAAAATTTAGTGGTATTAGCGGTAGTATTGATTGATTGATTGATATGATTGTCAATAGTCCCGAAAGTAGCAGGTAGGACAGTAAGTGGAACAACGTGTGCATTAGTGTTAAAATATTATTATAGTTACTTTTGTGCAGTTGTTGCAAAGTATCATTTTAGAAAATGAATAGTGTTTTTGAATTTATAAAAATGAGAAAATTATTAATCTCAATGTATTCAAAACTCAACATTCGAAGTTGTAAAAAATTTGAATTGGATAGTTAACAATTTGTGCACGAAGATAAACGCGACTCCATTAAGTCACCAAAGAGAAGTACAGCCTGAAATTGTTATAAATGGGGAAGTACCCACCTTGGATAAGATAATGTCTGATGTGGAAAGGCATGAGTTCATTCCACCAACAAAGACGAAATTATCTGCTGGCGACGACTATATTTGAAAGCAGTTAGACAATTTCAAATGGACAACAGGAATGTCTATTATCTGGACGAAACTGGGTAAATGAAGGCATTGGCAAAAGATGGCAGCATAAAAATTTAAAAAGCGCAAGGCAAGCTTTCACGGAAGGAAGTCCAAAAAGGTAAAAGATTAATAAGTAATCACATTTACAGCAAAAGTAAACTTGTCAAATCAAGAAAGCATGAATGTTGATGTTTTTAAAGACTTCCCCTATTATAGTTGTGGATAATAGCAGCTACCACCCAAGAAAATTCGAAACAATATCCTTCGAAAATATTTAGAAAAAAAATCATTGACGTACTTCAAGCAAGAAGCAATTTCAGAAATATATGCTGAAAAAGAAGCGGGGGTTTTTAAATGTGGTTAAACCTCTTTGTACAAAATTTGTTGCAGACAAAATTGCTTAAAACTAAATAGAACGGTACTTCGTCTTCCGACATCACCCCATAAAATTGGTAAGGGCACAGGTACAAGGGTTTGTAGAAAGACATAATACCACAACATGGAGTAAGTGCGTCGAACATGTGATTGAAATAGAAGAAAGAATGTGAGAAGCTAATAACATGCCAGAAAATACTGTAGATCCCTTATCCTATAGTTGATTCTCAGAACATGATGACTAAAATTTACAAATAAAGTTTTATGGTAAATAGTTTTTTAATGATATCGATTACAATTTAAATTATTATTTTTATATTATTCTTCCTTTCGTATAAGCTTTTATTTACTTGGTTTTAGAATAATTAATAACTCAATTATCTGCCCAAATATAATTATGTATAATTATTACTTACCACCTAGGTTTTTTTTTCATAATCAAGAATGTTCTAAGCCAGTAAGTTGCCAATAATTCAATAATCATATAGGATAGGTCAACACGAAATAGTCAAAACGAAAAACATTGTAAAAAACTTACCTTTAATAAATTATTTTTTACAACATTTATTTGAAAACCTTTAAACTTTTCCTATGTCTTAAATATTTTATTATAATTCTTTATAATGGTAAATATGTAATGTAAACAATAAAAATAAAATTACTATGTACAATGACGTGCTGTAACGTCTTTATTCTACAGAGCGTATTAAATAATGGTTACAAGCTAGGTAAAGAGTTGATTTACAGATTACGTTGCCGAGATGGTAGGTTTAGTTATCATTTAATCACTATGTGTATATTAAAGTGCTACAAATATTTTGATTCATTTTTAACATTACCTATGGACAGTTTTATTATTAAACTTTTAATGAATACATTCTGAAACTTTCGTTAACAAATATTTACATTTTTTTCGGGATAACCAAGGATAACTTCATCGATAAATGGGCAATTCAGTTTTCGCCTACAACGGGAGGGGTCAAATTTTTCGAAATAGCAAATATTTATAATAGTACGGATTTGCTATAGACTTTATAGGAAAAAATAAAAAGCGCGATTACATTAAAATATTTACAAGTAGGACAAGATTAACTGAGATTATATGGGAATATTTCAGGGTCATATATGACGTTTACTTCTATGGGATTTCAATAATGGGCGACACACCAGGATGAAAATTTAAAATTGGCTAACAATTAAGTATGGAGAGAATATAAATTAAAAACGCAAGTCAGATATCACAAGGTAGCGTATCTATCTCCTAACAAAAACTGCTAGATTGTGTTGAATGATCACTCAAAAATACGAAACATTATTGTTATTATCGCTATAATCTTATTCGCCCAGTTGGCCAATGATTTATATATAACGCTGATAACAAGAAAAAAAAAAATTTCCAAATCCTGTTGCTTATTAGATTATTAGAATATCAAAAAATCCACGATTGTTTGTTCTGTCCTGATGGAAATCAGCAAGTAACCCAAAAAGTGAGTGTTTAAGTTGATATCTTTCAAACAGGAACTTTTTCGATTTCCATCGGTCAAAATCGGCTTTTACGTCAATTATTATACCAAAAACTACTACATGCAGAATTTCGTTCCATCTGGTGTTTTCTATTCTTCATTTTTGACAACGTTTTGCGAAAAAACTTATTTTTACCGAACAGAATTTTTCAAATTGCAAATATCAGCATCAAATATAAATTTCACGGGAGATTGTTAGCTACTTATGCGGATACCGTCTCGACTATGGATTTTTTTATAATCTCTCCGAAATTTTCGTCGCAATCCTCTCGCGAATCTGTCGTGGTGTTTACTGTGGACCCGGATTCGCCCGGACCAACCGCAGAATGTTCCGCATTTATGGTTTGAAAATTATTCGGTTCATCATAGCTGTAACGTCTGTTAAGGAGCTCGCAGAACGACTCTATTTTATTGTTCGCTCCTATTACAGAGCTTAAGCTTGTGTATTGGTTCTCTTTGAGCTCGGATTGGAAATTCTCGCTGGTTAAGTTGTCAAATTGTACTGAACTCTGGATTTGCTGACAGGTTCCTGAAAAAAAAAATCCTACATGAAACGGGAGGCATCACAAAACATTTGGTGTTATTATCATGACATACATTTTTATACCTACTACAAAAAATTTGTACCAAATATTAACCCATAACACATTCAGGACACATAAACTAAACGCTTACTGCTTGGAATGGTTTTTCAAAATATCTTAAAAGTGGCGATCAATAATCAAGAGATACAGGGATTCTTATTTCTGGAGCTATAGAAGAACTAGTCCACGTAAAATTAAAATGAGAAAAAGACACTCTCTACGCGCTCCCACCAAAATAATTGAAAATGCAAAACCATGAAAATTGGCAAAATTAAAATGAAACTAAATTGACCCTATATCCAATTAGTAATGAAAGTTATGAATCATTCAGTAAACATATAAAATTTATGTTGCGTACTGAGTCACCGGCATTTTTAGCCAAAATTCCGTTAAAAAAGGAAATACAAAAAAATAAAAAATAGAAAAATAAAACCCAGGACACGCACAATCTTTACGCGCTCCCACCAAAATAGTTGAAATGCAAAACCATGAAAATTCGATGCCCTTGGCAAAATTAAAATTAAACTAAATCCACCCTATATCCAATTAGTAATAAATGTTATGAATTGTTAGTTTTCAGAACACATTATATAAAATGTATGTTAGGTACTGCATCACCCTACCTTACATTACACTTTTTCGCTAAAAATGCCGTTAAAAAAGGAAAAACAAAATAATAAAAATTAGAAAAATAAAACCCTGCACCCTACAAAAATTAAACCCCTAAAAGGCACGGTATGCGCAAAAAGAAATGAATTAACCAATCTAGCACTATTCATAAATGGTTAGTTTGCAAGCAGAGTTTACTGCAAGAAATAAAATTAGGTAACCAAAACTACAACTACTGCACTAACAACCGCTATATGTTATCACGCTACTAGAGGAGAAACCCAGAACCAAAAAGGAAACTGTGTCAATTATTACCTTCTCCCAATTTTCCGTTTCCAAATTCCGAACTCCCGTTATTGTACAAACTAAAGACGGGAAGAGGAGCGGAAGTGAACTCGTTAAATCCGGTCGATTGATACGAGTGCGTGTATTGATGGGATTGTGACGTCGGCACATACGAACTGGGGATGGCAATGGGTGCCAAACTACAGTTGACGCGCGACGAAAACGCAGAGACGTCGGGGAATCTGGGGTCGAATTGGTATTCCTGGTGGTGATCCCCGTTCGATGTCGACGGGAAATTCACATGATTGTGCTGTAAAGAATGTTTGTTGGGATGTCGTCTATGTTTTTCGCCTTTGAATACATTTGTAGTAGATAAAATAGAGTTTATGTTAAAAATATCCCAGACTTTTCATTAAAAATAGCGGATATATTTTTTTAAAATTTAGCGTTTAGCAGTAGAACAATGGGATGTTCAAATGAAAATATTGTCAGACCGCACAGCGAGATGAAGGCAACAGATCCACTGAGTGTTGAGTAACTGAACGAACCCACGTACCAACAATTATGTGAGAAAGGAAAATAATATGACTCTAAAGCTAGAAGACTTTCAAGGCCCCTTTGAATTCATATCGCCAAAAAAACATCAAAATTGATTCAGTTATCGTGGAATGGGGTTGATCGGGGATGAAGTTTAGGCGGTACGGTGCACAAATGTAATTTTACAAAATTACGAGTCGTTGACGGTTACAAACCCGCTTTGGCGGTAATTACCGCTAAAAAATACATTTTTCACTAACAGCAAGAATAAACAGTTTAATAATACTAATATGGTGTACCAGGGTTTTCAAGTATTTAAACTTCGTTCGTAGATCTGGGTTTTTCAAATTTCATTGCAAACTAATATAAGCAATGAAATTTTCAACAGTTTATGTTTCTGAAATTCCGGGGTTCCCGGCTTGATAGGGAACATTCTTGTAAGTCGCTGTAATAAAGCCGATAAAATTGTTTATTAGGGTTGATGTTGCAACCCAACTGTTGGTAACAAAGTTTGGTTTACTGAAAACTCCAATCGATTCAGCTTCATTATTAACAATTAAGGTGTTGAAATAGTTTTTTTTACTTGTTTACTTGTTACCAGTTGTGCCCTTTGAAAATACCTACACAATGAGCTGCGGTTTGGGTCAATCGGTTAATAAACAAAAAAGTTATGGCAAAGAACCATCTAAAATGGCTTTTTTACGATAATACTCAATGGCAAATTTTATCTCCAGTTACAGGCTTCGATCGTATCATTTTGCAATGAGCTATTTGTTTAGAACAGAAAAAAGGACCCTAACTTTTAAAAACTACTTAAACAATTTAAAATCGATATTTCATAATTTTCTTTTTAAAAATTAATATTACCATTACTATTACTTTGATTTGGACCCACCCCCATCGTCTTAGGACTTCGCGAACATTTCAAACAAACAATTAAAAAAATCTAACAAATCTAGCAATTAAAATAATCATTTCAGATGTTTTTTTGTAATAAATTTTTTGTTTATTGATCGATTAACTCAAGCCGTAGTTTATTTTGTAGATATTTTCACAGCGCACAATTTTCGTGTAATTTTTTTCGCAAAGGCCATAGCTTCAGTCAGAAAAATGTTTTTGCACACCTTAGTTGTTGCTAAACAAATGGTTACTCTATTTTACAAATAAAACATTGGATACAAATTCATTCCTACTGTTTTCACCAATCTCATTCTCACCCCATTTGACTCTAATTCGGTTGATGAACACATTTTTTTTTAAACATAGTCATAGACATAGTCACAGTTGGACAATATAATACATGAAGGTTAAGCAAAGTAGAGTCGGTACAGAACCAGATTGACCTAGTGGGGAAAGAACAGGGTCGGTTCAGACATCAATGAAACCAATGGAGGTGTTGGGTCGGCATTTATGGGGAACATTCAAAAACTGAGATAAGGATTGCCCTTGCTGTGCAGAAGTGCATGCCGTCGAGCTCTGTGCAATAATGCTTATACTTGCACACAATGGCATGAAGTTAAACGAAATAGCAAACCTTCTGATGCGGAAACGAACGAACAAAAGGACGAAACGCAATCGACGAGGCCTGGAGAGGCAGAAGAAGCTCGCCTACGTTGGCTACAATTAGTAGCAACAGTATTCGAGGGCATTAGAGAGTGTTCCATGATGAAACGCACAACTGACACTGTGTTACACATGAGCATGGAAAGTCTGCATACCTGACAGCGCAATCTCAAACACCACATGCACACAACCTGCTTTTGGAACGACGATGAGTACAGGATGTACATGGAAGATCAGAAAATAGCAGAGGGATTAGATACTCCTGACATCCTCGAACTTGAGAATCTGGAGGACATACCGTCCCACTTGATGAACTTGATGGGAGAAATATAAAACTGAGAGTGTGCTGCAATAGATCGATAGGTCGCTGCGGAAGACCGACAAGATAGAACCACATGAAAGTTCCATCTTAAGAATTCTTCCAAGACCTAGGAATTTTGTGGACTTATTACGCCTATTTGTTGAACATCTAAATTGCACTGAAACAGTCTTATCAGGTAGAAGAATCTATTGATCCTTAAGGCACCAATCCTCAAATTCACTCATGCTTACATGTAGTATCTCGTATTCCATTTTTATTAGTAGCCATGATTCATATTACTAGGAGAAACATTACGCCGACTACCGCAAGAAAATGAAAATCAATCTGCGTTGCGTTCATTTACCTGCAGTTTTCTTTCGGCCTCGTCGCCGTAGCACGTCTCCCTGTAACTGTACAGATCCAACGAATCCTCGCGCGCAGGAAGGTTGGAAAACGAGATCGAACGACTCTGTAACGTCGACGCCGTGCCTTCGCTCATCGTTCCGTAATGCACGTTCGTGAAGCTGCCGTTATTGACGCAATTCTCCACCTCCACGTGCGAATTCAAGCTGATGTCGCGCAGCAAGCTGCCGCTGCACTTGTTCACGTCCACCTTATTATTCGCTATGGGCAACAAATGTTCCCCACCACCGTTTTGAAAACCGTGACCGTTGAGCCTCTCGTTGTTCATCCAATGGTCCCTTTTTTCCTTCATCTCCTCCTCTTGTTTCTTCTCGAGCTCGAGCCTCATCAGCGTGTGGATGAAATGCGTCCTCACTCTCACCGGATTAAATTCGATCCGTCCGGAGGAGTTGCCGCAGTTGTCTTTCGTGCAGCCGCACGGAAAATTTAAACGGTCCACTTGACATTTGATGCCCGCCTGGCTGCACGAGCAAGTGTCCGGATCGCAATAGCCCTTGCAGCCGCAACCGCAAAATTCACGAGACGATCGTATCGTCCTGCATTCGTCCTTTTCTACGGAGTCGATTTTCCGCACTCCGGCCGATCGAAGAAGCGCCCGCCTTTGTCTCGTCGGTATCGGTTGGAGGAAATAGTAGTTGTCCAAGTCCATTTCCGATTCGGAGGCGTCGCTGATCTCGTCCTCGCTGTCGCTGTCGTCGCTCGACGTCGCGACGTCACCGGTAATGCTCCGTTCGATTCTGAAATGTTCAGATTTCGATTTTAAGAATATGACAGCACGTACACAACTTATACTGCACACCGTGCGCCAAATAAAACGATGTAATATACGATCTTGGACTCGCCTGAAAATTTAAAATATTATAATTTTGTTGATATAGGGTGTCCTAAAAGTGTCCCTCCGACATAAACTTTGTTATTTAAATGGAACACCGTGTATATTTCGACATTTTTGGAATCCTTGGTTAAAATATAGGTCACTGTTTAGGCAGACATGGGGGTTGTGTTTTTTTCTTATTTTGATTGCCCCATATAAAATTGTGTTGTGACGCTACACGCTTGGTATAGCAACGAAAATTTTACCTCAGGCTAAGGAGATGACCCAATTAGTTTAACAGATGCGGCTCAGCTTAGTAGTTAAAATATACACCGTGTGCCAAATAAAACGATCCACTATACGATCTGGAAACACAGCAGATACGAAAAAAAAATTATTGGACTCTACTGAGGATTTAAAATTTTATAATTTTGTGATACAGTGTCCCAAAAGTGTTCCCCCGACATCAACTTTGTTACTTTAAATGAAACACCCTATATATTTCCATATTTTTGAAATCCTTGATTAAAATAAAGGTCACTTTCTTAAGAAATTCCTATTCGAATTTTGCATAGCTTAGGGAGACATGGAAGTTATGTGTTTTTTTTAATATTTTGATTGCCCCATATAACATTGTGTTGTGACGCTACTGCGTATTGCAATGAAAATTTAACCACATACTAAGGAGATGATGCACTACTCAATCAGTTTGTCAAATTAACGAAATCTCAAGATTTTCAAATGGAACACCCTATATTTTTATTCAGATATCAATTCTAGGACAAAAATAAGGTAAATTTCTAATTTATTTTATATTTAAATTTTACTTACTTTTTGAGATATTCCAGGTTTAAAATAACACCCGTAATAATAAATAAATAAATAAATAAATAAATAAATAATATAATAAATAAAATAAATAATTAAAGTTTATAGGCTAACGAAAATAAGGTAACAAATTTGAATAAATAAATCTATAAGACAAAGAGTTCGTTAATTCGGTCCATAAAGTTTGGTCAAAAATCTTCCTCTTAAAATGCTCATTTCATCTGGATCAAAACGACAAAGAAATATCAAAATATTTAAAAATGTAGTTGGCTATGACATCACAATCTTTTTTTTACACATCAAGGTATAAACAACCTGACATTTCTGTTTGTTTTTGTTGTTTTTCATATTTCTATTTAAAAAGCTCATAGTTGTCAAGTTTTTTGTTAATATATATTTTATATCTATTTTAAATAAGCTAGTTTTTTGGTTACTGTGCCGCAATATTCTGTTCAGGAACGGCTAAAATTGTATGACTAATGGTAAAAGTGTACTCTTGGCATTAAGGGAGTACAACAATAACAATATTTAATAGAATTACCCAGGACCTGTCAAATCACGGCGTTCTAAAATATATGAAAAGGAAGAAACCGAGCACTGAATCTGAATTGAACGTAATACCATACCTCACTGAATTTCCCGAAAATTCTTTGCGAGATGCAAGCAGGGACCTTGAATAACTATTTCAGCTGTACGCCCTATTTTAAAAGGCAACAAAATAAAATCTAATAAATTTCTACCAATTTAATTTTTGTTTCACAATGATTTTGATGCCAGACGAAACTTCTGCATGTTCATTTTGAGAGGGACGTTTTTAACAAAACATTATGGACCGATGAGGCAATTTTTACTACGTCATGCACAATAAAAAAATTGCCACTATTATTCAACAGAGAATAAGTTTTTAATAAAAAATTTCAGTAAGATAACGCGCCCTAAATGGTGACAATGCGTGGCCACCGCGAAGTGCCGATTTTACACTCGTGGACTTTTTTTGTGGGGCACTTTAATGGATCGTGCGTATAAATCGCGAAATAACTATACAGTTGATGACCGAAAAAATTAGACAAGAGATTCTTGCATTAAATAATAGTGATGCGGTTAGAAATGTGGTGTCAAGTATTATGAAGCGCTATACAATGTGTATTGCAGAGGATGGACAATATTGAAAATATATTATAATATATTTATTTTTTTTTTTAGTTATTTGTTTCTTTTTTTTTTCTTTTTTTTATAGATTTCTTTATTCAAATTAGTTACCTTCTTTAGTTAGCCTATAAACTTATTAGGTATTTTCAATCAAGCTAGATAATTAACTATTAAAAATGTTTCTTTAAATATGATTTAAGACATCTCTTAAAGTGTGACACCCTGTATTGATAGCAATATGTTTTTTTGTATATCTGGAGTATTATATCTTTAAAAGAAGAAGTATCATGGCTTTATCATGTATTTAAAAAATACCGAATATTGCCAACAAGTGACCTAATGTGGGCCGCTTTCAATCCAACAAGTGTGTTATCTAAAACCTCGAATATCTCAAAAAGTAAGTAAAATTTAAATATAAGATAAATACAATTGATATCTGAATAAAAATATAGTGTGTTCCATTTGAAAATCTTGAGATTTTGTTAATTGAATTCGCCAAAACGGCATCACCTATTTGTCAAACTGATTGAGTAGTGCATCATCTCCTTAGTCTCCGTAGTCCAATTTTATATGCGGCAATCAAAATATGAAAAAAAAACACATAACCTCAATTTCTGCCTAAACTAGGCAAAATTCGAATAGGAATTTCTGAAGAAAGTGACCTTTATTTTAACTAAGGATTCCAAAAATGTCGGTGTTCCATTTAAAATAACTAAGTTAATGTCGGGGGAACACTTTTGGGACACTCTGTATCCACAGAATTATACAATTTTAAATCTTCAGTAGAGTCCAATAAACTTTTTTCGTATCTGCTATGGGTTTCCAATCGTATTTGGCACACGGTGTATATTTTAACTACGTCCATTCAGTATATTCCCAGTACATAAGTTGTACGTACAAAAGACGTAGATTTTCGTAAGAAATATACCAAATGTTGCTTGCTTTGCTGCATATATGTAATTTATTTGATAAAATAAGTTTTTATTTCAAATTAATTCGCCCTCGAGCGTTGTACACGTTTCTCCAATGTAAGAAAACAAATCTTGATTTTTCAATTGACATCATGGAATAGTTATGCAATGAAATTGAAAATGTAATATGTATCGTAGCGTTCTGTTCGTTCACCATTCGTCGTTCACTTACAAAACTTCTGGATTCTTCCTACGTCGGTTGTTGTTGAATCTAACTTGCTGATGTTTCAGTTATGCGTTGAAGAACCCGGCAGGATGATTCAACAACAACAATATTATTACAATAGCCTCTGAAACTTTCTTTGAAAAATATTATATATAAATCGATAAGCAGGAATTGTGAAGGGTGCTTGATGGTAGTGTTGTGAGTTATTGACAATGTCATGTAAAAGTAACTGGAGTGTCAATAAGCATTCTAATAAGCCTCCGAAGAGCTTCTTAATTTCATTAATTCTACTGCTATTGGTTTGCACATTTTATCCTCAGAAAATAGATTTATTTCAATTGATGATTACTTCTATTTTGTAGGCGCAGCAGTCATATTGGAAAGCGAAGATAAGTTAAATGGAGTTAAAAATTAATAGATGGCTCAGACGGGCACCAGCTTTCTAGGGGAGACGACAGGGATAAAGTTTAGAATAATAAGAATTCTATTTAACAAATACAGTTTTTTTATATGTTCAGAACATAATATGTAGATTTTACAACTTACAGCATGTCTGTATTACATACTTCTTAGACAACAAATAAGTAGATTCTATTGAAAAATGTATATATTCTGCTGAACTCGACATACGTACGTACGTTTCGTCTTCATCTGTACGTTCATAAAACGTTGATGCTGTTTGGGTGAGTAAGCATATTAGCAAATTAATATTCCAGATTGTTTTCGGACAGTTCTCTAACCATAAAAATAATTCTAGGTTTTTGTGGGATTTTTAAATTTGCGCATGAGCTTGGACATTTGGTCTCTGGCCACGTGTTGTGAAGTTAACGCAAATTCTTATAATATTATGGCTTGCACTATTGACAGTCTGAAAGGCGGGAAGAACTTTTTGTAAAATATATACATGTTTGCTAAAGTGTAAATGCAATTGTCAAATTCTTCATTAGGTGATCGTAATTTGTAAATTATAAAATACCAGAACATCAGAAACACACACATATTTAGGATAAGTTAAGTGATTGAACTTTTCTACTACTAAAACACAGCAGAGCATTAAATTCTAGATTAATTTTCAAGTACTTGGCAAACTGTGCATCCTAAATTAGTCAAAAAATGTTATGGATTCTGTATAAGAACAAATCTAGATAATATCGGGTTTCTAATTTGATAAAATTCAGTTCAAGGTGTTAATAAGGTGGTTAATTTTTTCTGGTTAAACTGTTTTCGGCAAAAAAAAATTTTTGGTAACTTTAAGCATCTTGACATAAATGTTGAAAAATTGTTTTTCAATTTTATTTATAAATTTGTAAAAATATCTTTTAACGTGAAAACGAAAACTCCGATGACATTCCCTAACGCTTTTTTAATACCCCAACTTTTCTATATTTTCCAGGTAGCTAACGACCTTGTTCCTGTTAATAGAGTTCGCGATATAAGTTTTATTCCATTACATCATTCATCTTAACTACCAGGGTTCTTATTAACCTGGAAAATCAGGGAAGAAGTCGATCTGGAAAACTCAAAAGAGCCGCTTGAAATTATCCATAAGTCAGTAAACCCCAAAATGGAATTTTATCATTAATCACAATTTTTAGTCTTTCTGTTCTTATTAACCTTGAGAGTTTATTTGAATAAATATTTTTGTTTTGCTTTGCTGCTATCCTAAAAAATAGCGGTAAGATAAAACCCAACTTAAAGGGTAATCATTCCTAACAAGTTACATAACAATAACATCACAATCTATATTTTTCATGGTTGTTTTGCCATTCGTTGAAAACAGAACTAAGGGTCGGAGAGAAGCATTCGGTCTAGAGGAAGCCTTCCAAGAAAATTTTTTCACAAATTTCAATGAAAATTTCTTCAATATTATAAGGCATAAATTCTAATTCGATATATAGCCATCTACTAAGTCTTTATTAGTACGAATATTGGTAATAGTGTCGGTGTTATAATCACCCGCAAGACGGGGATTTGAACAAACCAACAAAGGGAATGATACGAAGCAAAATAGTGAATATACCTTAGTTGTTGAAGAAGCTGCCGATGTATCCTGCGCTGCTCGTTGGCGTGTTCGACAATAGAAAATTTCTTCATTTGCGAATGCTGTGCTCCCATACCCAAAGTAGAACCTCCTTGGGACGGCACGCAGGTGAAGCCCTGCGCCCTAGGAAAATAAAAGACTGTGACGCTATCGAACACGATGGATCGTTTCTTCTTCAATTTCGGCTCGTCGCAGTCTTCTTCGACGGGATGCTTCCTCTTGAGATTGCTTCTGCTAGGTTCCATTTGAAGGATCTCGTTCAGGTCTTTCATAGGTCTGGAGCTGTTCGGATCTTGGTTCACATCATCGTTGTCTCGACTAGAGCTCGGACACACGTTGATCGTTTCGCCGTCACTTTCTACGGGGAAGTTGTTGGCCGAGAGCGTTTCCGGTCCTAATCCGGAGTCGGAACTGTCTGATTTATCGTGAGCTTCTTCGGTTAGTTCTTCGGGAGCCGGGAGGCTTTCAGTTGCCGAATCCTCGTCTGTTGACAAGCTCGTATGGCAGGGCTTTTCAACCACTTTATCTTCGTCCAGAGTATTTTCCGCCATCGTTGATGGCAAGCAGTCAGCGCTGCCGTTATATTCGGCGGGACTCGGATCTATGTCATGATTTACGGTGTTCGATTCCATTCTAGAGTCGACGCTGCCCATCGCGTTTATTCACAGCAAATGTAATGTTCCATATGAGATCCATTTTAGTTCTGAAAGAGAACAACATTTGTGTGTGACCAAGATATAACATGCCTCTCAATTTTCTGAATAGCACTAGTAATAATAGTAACTGTGCGTTCGAGAAAGAAATATCTATAGATCTATATCTAGATCCAATATGGATTGCCCAACATCTTCACTTCTATAGTCTGACTCTGAAAATCATTAAAAGAAATAATATAAATTCGAGCGCACAGTAAAAAAAATTCCTGTAATAAAATATGTATATCAGTTTTAAAAGCTGCCAGGTTGACCGTCAAGTTTTAAGTAAATCCAAAAATATTCCTCCGTGCTGATATTGGAAAATACAGGTTGTGGAATATATTATATCGATTCTAACTAGAACCGTGAACCGTTAATTTACTGCATAATAATAGATAATTTTGTATTAAGCGAAGGGAAAATAAAACACCGACATCGATCTAAATATCGCGAAATACCTAAATTAGCAGTATTCGGCTGTGTTCGGTAAAGATTTTAAACACCGGCCAAATTCAAAACAGCATGGATCCATAAAAACAAGTTTTATCGGCGCTCAATAGTTCCTTAATTTTGAGGAAACTCACTTTTGATTGACCAAGTAGCCCTATCTCATCTCGATTTCCAAAAATACAAACCTCAAAAATTAGACCATCGGCTCAAAACTACCTTCACTTCGAGGGAACCCGTTTTGCGTTTACAGGATCTTTGGCGAAATGTGAATGGGATTTGGGTCAAATCCTGACGCATGAGAAATCGAAGGTAAAGGTGTGTCCACAATATCTCAAAATCCATTTTTAGTTTTGTGGTAATCAATTGTTTTTATACTTTAACCTCACGGTATAAACACTTAAATAATTTGCGCCTTTGTTGCTCTAATTCAATTTATTTCAAATCAAATAACAATTACTTAAATCACAAATTTCTGACTGATAATTAAATCATGAGTCGGCAAAATATCAAAAAACTGATCAAAATTGAATAACGGTAAAGGCCACCGAATATATGCAGGATGCAACAAAAAAAAACTTCCATGTGAAAAACCAAACCACCGAAATCGTGAAACTCGATGCGACACACCCGGTATGCTATAAAGTGTGTTATAAAAACAAGTTTAGCGAACTGTAGTGGTAAAAGTACTCCTTTCAATTTTAAGGTGCAATTCAGATTTGTAATGAGGCCGCACGTACTTTCGTACTTATTTTATTTTAATAGTTAAACGCGGGCTGGCTTCTTTTTTACCAATTAGCTGAAAACTTCCGATGTAACTCTTGACTAACAAAATAATGTAGTAGAGGTGACGTCACAAAGTTTAAAAATACTTTATCGCAAGAGAACGTATTACCTACTTTTATTAGTGCGGTATATTCAAACAAATAATGTACACTTCGCTTTTGTTCATTACCCGAGCCGATAAATTTATCTATGATCCGCTGGCACATTTATATTACCTGACATAATAATCAGTTGTGACGTAGCGGAATGTACCTCTTCGATTCGGCGAACTGCTGTTTTGTTGGCTCACTCTATATACCGACGTAGCGAAAAACACTTCTATATTTAAATCTGGGCGAAAATTTTGGTATCCCGCACTCGCTATCGATCGACGTATTACTTTTATTACTATTAATTTCCTTCAAGTTCATCGTGTGATTGATAATCTTATGGAGATTTGGCGGATTGATTCCGCATTTGATGTGTATACAGATCGTAGCACTCACTGCACCTACAACTGGTAGGTATAAAGAAACAGCGTACAATTATTGAGAAACGGACATCCAACGCTTAACGCGTCTGCGCACCAGCCACAAGTTGGCGGCCTCCGGAGGGTCACATTTAGCTTAGCGTGTGACGTCGTGAAGGTATGCTATACCGGGGCATCGAAACTATCGGCGTTCGTTCGGGAGGGTCGTAAATTTTAATTCCAAAGCAATGACGCTTCTCCCTATTGAGCGTTTGGTCCCATTTGTACCATCGACTGACTGTATTTGCGTAAATAAATTAGTAATGCAACCTAGAATAATGAATCAAAATGATTTGTAACGTAATCTACAATATTTTCAGAAAGAAATAAGTGAGTCTCGATTTGTGTACGAGTATTTCAAGAAAAAGTATTTCAAAGTATTGTCTCAATTCACCTACTTTCACGAAAAGCGTGTCCAATTTCCGGCGAATGCGCCGGTGCTCATGGTAACCTATAATAAAGTTTGAAAATTTAACTTTATTTTCATTAAACTTAGCCAACAAAAACATCAGCAAGATGTTCAATAACATAACTTACAGTATTATAAGCAACCTAGCTTTTTGACTACTATTATTAGGGTATTTGAGATACGGGGTCAATAAACCATAACTTACTGGGCAAGAATACAGACGATATTACTATTAAGAAGTATCCTACTCAGGTAAACAAATTGGTTATCAATATTTTGCAGTTTTGAGGTTTTTTTTAAATGTTTGACTGCCGAATTTTTCTAGAGCACGGTTCTATTTTAAATAAAGCTCCCAAATTTTACTTCTGCTATATTTTCTGAAGTAATAATTATTCTTTCTGATCACGACATTGAAATGGCCCATCAGCTTAATTTTGTATGCTTAAAATATGTTTTTTTTGACTCCTTTGAGTTTTCAGTTAACATTAAACATTTTGTTGTTATGTTATAGTTATTGTGAGGAGACTATTTCTACCTCAACTGCTTAAAATTCGAAAAACACAATCCAAATTCACAAAATGTCCAATTCATTTTAAAAGTTTATATATAAATAGTTTTGGCTAGTCTAATCCCTTTGTTGGTAAATTGTTAAACATTTGTAAAAATATTTTATTCAACAACAAGCAAGTTGAAAATAAATAAGAACCAAAAGTTCAGATTTTCACGAAATTATATATTATGACATGACAATTGTTTCGACAACACCGTATCTTTATCAAATGACATTTGATAAAGACAGGCAGGCATTTTTCCTTAAAATAAAATTTAAAAGGGCAAAGAGTCGCAGCTTAACTAATGTGAGCCATTAAGCAGTCTAAGAGATGAATACGAGATAGAGCTTCTAGTGATGGTCTTATTTTTGGATATTTTGTTGAAACGGGTTCCAAGGAAATTATTGTTTATTAGTAGTGAACTAGATATCTATAATTTGTAAGTTTTTGTACCTGACCGGTAAATTTTATAAAATTCTTTGAACTAATTAAAAATTAAATGTTTGTTGTTTATCTTTATTTATATTATACTAACGCTAAACACATAACAAAGATATAATTACAGAAAATATGGGGGTGCGTTATTTTCATTAAAAATGTTTTCCAAGTTTTTGGTGATAAACTCGTACAGTAGTTTATCACCGTAAACCTGATCGACCCTGGTATTAAGTCAAGCATTCAATTACACCGAAATTGTTGAATATTCGAAACTCTTTTTCTTCGCTGTCCTCTCGATTGATTAACGAGGCGGTGGACCGGAGCCGATTCAAAATTTAGACGTGAAGCGCAACAATGGTTTCGTAATATATGGGACACTTAACAGTATTACCAACCCCCCTCCACCTACGCCGCGACTACTGCTGCAATATATTCCGTCTATACGTGAAATCAATGCGTTCTGCGGTTGCCAGGGGCAACCGAGAGCTACCATGGCAACGACGCTTGTGCACCGACGACGCCTGGACGAATCGCGTCCTTTTCTACACGCTTCGCGTATATATATCGCAAATAATGACGATGATTTTTGGTTGTCGTTTTGCGTTGACGCTACCGTGCATTTTATTCGTGACGGCGAACTTATTAGTTTAATTAAAAAAACGTTTTGAATGGGACCGCCGAGGACGCGGGAACTCCGGAGAAAACGTCTCGAGAGCACCACTGCCGGTGGGTGGGGAGGGTATAACGAGCGCGATTTTGGAACGTATAATCTTGTAAAAAGCATTTTTCCCGTTAGGTTATGTGACCTCGATCTAACTTTTGACGACCTTTACACGCGTGCGTAAACGCTTTGATGCTCTAGGAAGTAATGGCTGCATTCGGGTATATTCAACTATGTAAAAGCATACGCTGGCTCATTTTGACAAGTTGATACTTAATGATACACTTAACCCAATATTTATTAATTATTTTAACTATTTCTTAAATAATGTCTCATTAGTAGTTCCTTTCTGCGTTTCAATATGAGAATCGATTAAATGTTTGCGAATTCTACTAAAGGACCTGTAATATCACATGTCCCATAAACCCATTTTGTATTTTCATCTTCAAACACTGCTAGAAAACATCGAGTTTTTTGTGCATTCGCACTGGTTGGCCAAAATAGTATATTATGCAACAAGTGTGGTAAATGTAGTAGTAGTAAAGTAACTGACATGACCATCAGATATGACAAACGTCAAAATTCAAGGCGTGGGAAATATCTCCGAAAACATCCGGTTGCTAAACCCGTGCGGTAAAATCCCGGAAATATCCGAAGTGGCTCGGATCCGTGGGACAAGAAACTGACGTGGTAAAGTCCCGCACGCTAGATCGGTGTGTAATTAGGCATTTTACATACGGGAGTAGAAAAACATCTTTTTCTACTCCCTTCGCCGCACGCTAGATGGATGTATAATTGTGTATTTTACAAAAAGGAGTAGAAAAACATCTTTTTCTACTCCTTCTGTACTACGTCAGTTTCGTTTCCCACGGATTCGAGCCACCTCGGACATTTCTGGGATTTTACCTCACAGGTTTGGGAGCAATCGGATGTTTTCGGATATTTTTCCGCATGTCGTCAGTGAATATATACGTGTTGTTTTGCAAAAATATACCCAAAAACTAACGGTCGTAGAAAAAGTATAGTATGCAACATGTTGGTAAACTTTTTAAGTGTACTCGTTTATTTAAAACTCATTACTCAAATGCCGTTTACCACACTTGTTGCATAATGTACTATTTCAGGTTAGAATTGCTTGTCAATGAACATGTTAAAAAAATTATGCGAATTTATTTTACGCTTTGAAAAATGGCGACCGTTAATCAAACCGTTTGCATTTAGCTCAAAGCAAACCGAACTTTTCAGACCACAGAGCCACTAGAGATATAGAGGCCCTGCCTATGCTGATAGTACAGGACCTTATGAAGCAACTACGAAAACATTTTGAGAAGAATCTCGTTTTTAACCAATGACCATTATGCAACATGGCCGCTGAAAGATCGTTAATAAGTGCAGATTAGGGGGTGAAATAAATGATGAAATGAATCTCTACGAAAATATCAGTGCCACCTGAGGCGCATCCATTTTGACCGTTGTAGAGCTAACTATATCCAAGAGACCCAATTTCTCATATTATATTATCAAAATAATAGAGTTAAATCGACAATTTGGCATATTCCGATTTATTGAAGTACTTCACAGGAACAAAATCTCAAAATGGCTAACAATTTCGGCGGACATATTTTTATTAGTATACCTTCGATTGTGCCTTTAAGCGGCCTACACACATGCAAGCAAGTGTTAAGACTTGCCTGTACAGGTCATGGCACGTGAGTAAGTGCGAATGTGATCAGATTGTGTCTGATTTTTAGAGCAAGTGCGAAGGCCAACTTCATTTTTCACACAGCAGCAGGCCCCAGCAACTGGTGAACCTCGAGGTTTACCTGAATAGTGTGTGGCCGCAATTCGTTTCGCATTTGCTCGCGGACTTACCTGGACACACTTGCGCGCGGACTTGCCTGCATGTGTATAGCCCCCATTAGAGGGTGTTTCAAAAAACGTGCGCCAACTATCGCCTGGTGCCTGACCAAAAAAATTCATATGAACGTGCTCGGAAATGCTTAGTTTCCAAGATAATTGGTTTTAAATATAAAAAAAGGTCGGAAACACCTTTTCAGTTACGAGTTTTATTCGGTGCGAGCGTGATTGAAGGAGTTTATCATGTTGAATACTACACTTTTTTTCAAAACAGCACAACTAAATTCTCTGGAAGACATTCGATTGCTCCCAAACCCGTGACTAAAGTACCGGAAACGTCCGAAGTGGCTCGCGAATGAGGGTAACCAAACAGTCGTCTTAAAGTGACACTTGCCGCACGCTTGATCCCTGCATATCGTGGCCATAGAAGTAAATAAGAACAAGATCCCTGCACAATTGGGCATTTTAGAGTACCGACTAGATTTTTTTTGCCAGATGTTATTGACATTTAGTAAAGTCATTTATAAAGGGCTAATTTTACTTTAAATAGATTAAAATTGTAAAGTCCAGTGAATTTACAATCTGTTACAAAAGCCTTTTTGTAAATGATTGTCGCGGATCTTAGAACTCAGCATTTTCTGATTTTTTGAAAGTTGGCAGTGGTATTATCGATGGTAGTTACTTCTAGCGGCCTCTTGGAAGGCAACCTGGCCAATATTATTTTTACGGTTTTCATCCTTATTGTGTTTTTCTTGGATCGAACTACAAAAATTGCAATTTTTGCAACATATGAAAAAATATTTGAGCTATATTTTACCTGAAATATATTCGAAGAATGTTGAACCTTAACCCCATAAATGAACAAATTTCAATTTACGAAACAAATGATATTCAGTACTTGGGAGTTAAAATAGATCGTTTCCTTAAATGGAACGTGTATGTTACAAAAAAAAAAACTATGGCGGTTAATATGCAAATTCAAGCAAAAACATATTAAATAAAATAAATATGAAAATCGTTTATCACTCTCTAGTAGTGTCATTACTAGAGTACGGTAGAGCAGGTTGGGGTAATTCATATAAGAGTCACTTAAAACAACTAGAAAGATTACAGAAAGGTTTTTTAACAATTTTACATCATAAAAATCGATTATACCCTAGCGATCCTTTATTTCACGAATCACATATTATGGACATTCAACAACTATGCATTACTGAAAATAGATCATCATCATGCAACGCATCAGAAAAAACAAAGAAAGGCAAAGTGCGAAAATGATTGGGCCAACGGTCATTTGATTATATTGCGCCGAAATATACAATTAAAGATTTGGATAGTCGGACCCCTTGAAAAATTATCCAAGATTATGTGAATTGAGTAAATAATTGAAGGTGAAAAATATAGAAAATTTAATTTAGTCTAATATTATGATATGAATATGGGATTTTTTAAACTTTAATTATTTGAATATGAGTTTTTAATGTGTTACTTAGTATGGTATAGGAAGAATATATTTAACCGCGCACACGAACAGCCTACTTTGAGACAGTTTCTGTTGAACGTTCTTCTTTATTTTCAATTAGTAAGTTTTATTATAACATTTTAAGATGAATAAGCTGAAAATAGATATTATTATTAGTTGATAATTCTTTATTAATGTATTTGGGTAAAAAATATTAGTGTCTTCGTTTTAATAATAGAATTAAGAACGTTATTAAATTTATCTTCTATGATATATCTCAACGAGATACTGATAACAACTGCGGGAAAGGATGAAGCGATTCAACAAGTAAATGCCGACTAACCAAAGCTTCGTGGCACAAAGGGGACCGGGGATTACAATAATTTTGCATGCGGGTTGAGGGAATTATTTTATTGCGAACTCTTTGTTACTGTTTTGGAAAAACATAGCCAGTGCAGCTGTAGATTAGTACCTACAAGTGATTTTTTGTAAACGCATTCATTGACTGCGCCCGCAGTGTGCACTTCCATGGTGGATATAATTGAAAAGTAATCTTTTTTCTGCATAACTTAAATAGTTCTGTTTCTGCAATTGAACTTATAATTTGTAAAACGGTACTGAATATGGAGTAGGCTAGTAAGTTAAATTGTATAAAAAACCAAGACGAATTTTATCACATTCCTCTTTGAATTTGGTGTCAAGAAAACTTTTTTAAAAATTTTGCCGTCTCAACACTTCTGTTGCTATTTACGGAACTAATGGAAACATGTTGCAACAAAGAAGCAAACAGGCAAAAACAAAAAATATATAAAAATACATTTGATATAATATGAAATTCTAAAATTTAATTAACTCAAGGCAATTTCCAAATATATGTTTCCTCACATAGATTAAGCATTTCTTTCCCCACTCTTTTGCCCACAAAACAAAGGAAATTTTGTTAAGTAAGTATAACTTAATTTTCCTGTGCGAAATTTTCCAAATATTTCCATTTAAAAGCACTGCCAACCAAGTTAGCAGAACTTTATGGAAGCAACAGAGCGAAGTGTTGAGTAATTTAGTTTTAATTAGATTCAGCTATGTTACTAAGTTTAAAAATATTGCCATGATTTCATTTCTAAAAAAGATTATATACAGCCATAGAACATAACATAAGAATCGTACAAAAAATTATGGCGCTAAAGAAATGCCACTCTAGAGAAGACCGTACATATTTCATATGTTATTATCAAAGAAAACCAAAAAATTATGAATAAACTCCGTTCAAAAATGGTATAGACTGTAAGTTAGTTGAGAAACGTGTAGATTAATAAAATGGGAAAATCCGTTCCGTTCCGCTGAATTTTGCGTAATGAAATTCTATTCCAATACTTATCAATAGGCTTTGTTTTCATTTTTGTCGAGTTATCACCTTAGCTGATGTCTTACACCTCATTATTTCTTTATAACAGAATAAACATATATACGCACATTAAAACATACTTACGGTAGCGCCTATGTAAGTATGTTTGTTTAGTTTAACACATCAGTATTTGCTGACACGCCATAGTGTTTACAGTATTAATGCACCGTCATACTACTGCGAACTGAAACCTATAGCACTTACATGGGCGCAATTGAAAGGACTTGTAGCATGATGGAAAGCGACATTCAAAATGAAAGATCTTTAGCTTCTGTTTGATCAAGCCATTGAGGATAGGGCATCAGAGAACTGGTGAAAATCAGTTCAGCATGTCATTAAAGCCAAGAGCAAAATGTGAGATCTTGGCTACTTGACCAAGCGGATCCGTTAATTATAATGTCAAGCAAAGGTGAAGAAGAATATGATCTTTTATAATATAATTCCTGCATCATGTATTTATGTTTAATGTTTAATAAAAAATAAGGGTATCCAATACTATGTGCATAATAGCTAATTTTTATTCCGTTAAAATAAAATTCTTCTCCGTTAGTTTTGGTAATGTGTGGATTACAATAAAACCCACAAATTGACTCAAACCCACTACTAACTTCTATCGATAAAAAGAAAGTATCTTGCAATGAAATAATTGCCCAACAATTAATTCCTTTACATACCTAATCAGGTTTTATTACTCTAAACCGTTATGAAATACTCTTTAGGTGTTTTCAATAAATGGCACAAAATGCTGAATGTATCAGTGGGCAAATAATAAAATTATAGTGTTTTCAAATGGACTTAAATTATGTTAAAGGAGGAAACAAGGTTGCTATTACATACATAGTATACTAGCATCCCTCTTTAAATGATGCCCATTTAGTACATTTGAAGAAATTTGTGGAAAAGAAAAGTCGGCAACAAGGCAAAAATTTTAAATCAAGCGTTTTTGATGCTGCGTGATGAGATAAATAAGATCGAAAATATTATATCGACTGTCTTATCGTTAATAAAATATATTATGAGGTTTTTGTCGGAAACTTAACAGTCATAATACGTACTAATTGTATTTGTTTAATTTAAATCATGTGATTTGAATTATGCAAATGTTACAAAGCGTCTCTCGTTGGAAGGAAATTTAAAAATAATAAGGTATAATTCATTGTGGCATTGCCGCAAAAAAGTTGGTAGCGCCCTCTAGAGTATACTTCAAAAATGTCGATACGTTCGACGCGTAGTAAACGTCGATTATTAAAAGCGCCAAAAAGTGTAAATAAAGATCGTAATCAATATCATAATTTTAAAGAAAATTAGTAAATGTCAAAATTTGACAGGGTGACCGATGCCTATGGTCTGTCTGTATACTATTTCCAAGTTTTATAGATCTTTTCTCAGATTTTAAATTTTTGCAATATTTCATCAACTGCTTTTGAAATATATTGCTTTAAAATTTCTTTTATACGGATATCATTCTAAAAAACCTTAATATGGGTAAAATATTCCAAATATACTAACTATATCTATTAAAAATTTTAATTAATACAACAGGTGTTTCATCAAAAATAAAAAAATGACATTTTCGAAAATATTTGTTTACGAAAAAAAAAAACTTGTGATAGATCGGATGTAAATATTTATCTAAAAACCCATATTTCAATTAATACTGTCAATTTTTTTTTATGTTCTTTGCGAAAAACAATTACCTGCGATCCGAAGCGTGGATCAGACGAAACCGTCACGTATTTCACATAGTTGAAAAATCACGGGTGTCACGTTGATAGACGCCAAGCGTAGCGACGCCTTCGCAGAGTCCCTACAGGATGGTGGAGCAGCGACTGAGAGCCAATAGCGGGCGTCATGGTACATATCTGACAACAAACTATACCGATTCTTCTAGTGCTCGCGCACAAGCACTGTGACCGAAAGTTGGATCCGAAGGCGGTAGGGACGTGACGTTGCGGGGAGGGTTTTCAAACAAAGGGCTTTTTTTCTTTCGGTTATGCGCAAAATTGCCTCTATCCGCTAAACCGCGTGATGCAAATCGACCCGTCAGAGGTTGATATCGTCCCTGTCTTATCAGAATCCAAAAAAAATAATAATCGTACATACACTCGCAATGCAAGACTTGCGCAATCTTAAGGGATCGATATGGGATTCTTCTCGCCCTGTCGCCACGGATTTGACACCCACCACGGGTGTTTCGAGGGCAAATGCAGTTCGCAAATGATCGGAATAAACTATTTTTTTACTGCTAGCTTTGGAACTAATAATATGGAAAATCAGTGCACTTAGTTTCACTTTTTGAGTAACAGAGGAGCTATAATGTCTTTATACAAATTTGTTTTATCACCTTTCGAAGAGAATTATAAGTCTTTGTCTCTCTTTTTTTGGAGGAGAGCTTTTGATGTAATAGGTGTAAAATTAATGCTCGAGTTATTATGATGATTTATTTAAAAAATAATGATATCTCGGTTAGTTCATCTTATGCTCCAGTTATCAGTGGAGTACCTCAAGGAAGCATACTGGGACCGGTTTTATTCATAAAATATTATATATATTAAAAAAATATAATAACCGTATAACTTTTTGCAATGAAAATGGATTTCCTTTAAATGAAAAACGGTTGAACAAACCAGAATTCTGGTTTGTTTAAAAACTCAAAGATATTTCACAACTGTGAAATATCTTTGAGTTTTTATTGACGAACATTTTACATGGACTAAACAGGTTGATGCAGTACTTAAGAAACTGTCAGTTTACGCGTATGTACTTTGGCAGTTGAGATATAAGGCTGATGTTCAGCTTGTGTTACTTTACTATTATGGCTATGAACAATCCTGCTTGTCGTATGTTGGGGTAACTGTTTCGTTGACGTATTCAGAGCACAAAAGAGAATACTGATAATGATTTTATTTTATGCAAAATTTTATTTCCTAAACTAAATTTATTAACGTTCCTGTCTCTATATATTTTAGCTTCGATTATGCATATAAAAAATAATATATCCGATTACTCTGAGTCCAGAAACGGTCAATGTGATTTTAAGGTCAATTTAAATTTGATGTTTCCTAGGAACAGGCTGGCTAAGATAGCAAATAGCCTGATAGTTCTACCAGTTAAACTCTATAATAAACTTCCCTCTAAGATTAAAAAAATACAAAAAATTGTTTGTTATAGTATAGATGAATAGATAAATGGCAACGCCTCCGAGCTTATTCCTTAATTATCTATTTAATTTTAAGTAATTTTATAGGACATTATCCTATACTTTGTTAAAAGTCAATGGCAATAAAAATTTGTCTAATTTTCTAAGGTCTCTTTATATATTTTTCAATAACTCGGAAAAATATATCCACTTGTGTATTAATGCCAAAATTTTAATGCATTGTCGATGGCCGATAGAGCATTTTATGTTTGAAATAATAACAAATTGCATCTTGAATTTTTTAATTTATGAAATACATAATACAATTTATCATTATCATCATTATTTGTAACGTCAGCAATTTCTTCCAGGTTATTATCTTCATCATCTTCAAGAAATTCTTTATCTTTGTCTTCTTCATTTGTTTATTTCAGCTTTCGTTTACCTTTTTGCAATTTTGCAATTTTACTTGGATCATTTTGTTCCTCGAGTTGCTGTTTTTATTTCTCTTATTAGGAACAGGTGAAATATCGAAAAGTGTCACCAAACAACGATATCCGGCACCTGTAAGGACCCTACTGTGCTGTGCAGGGCCCAATGCAATGCAATGCAGTCAATGTCTAACAAAATTACTAAGTTAAAATTTTATAAAATTAAATGCAAACTTTTTCAGAATGCTAACCTTTATTAATGATAGCCGTACAAGACAAAGCAAAGCAGGTAATTTTCACAAACTGTGTAAAACATTTCAATATCATTCTAACTGTATGGCAAACGTCAACCGAGATTTCGGGACAGGGCGTGAATGAAGCACACTGCAAGTAAATAAGAGAAATTTAAGATACATTCAAAGTATCAAGGTGACACATATTACCAGTAGGGCCCACATTAGGATCCTCCCTTCTTTTGGATAAAAAGTAAAAAACATGGTACTTTTTAATTACTTACCTATTGAATGCCTAGCATGTTCTTATTGTATTTATCAGCCTATTGTCATAAGGCAATTTTAGACAGTATTTGCAGACTGAAACTAAATTCGACAGACGGACAGAGTAAATTATAAAATCCATCTTGTGCAAAATTGGTTTTCCCTTTATTTAGTTTTTTGTTAGCAACAATTACACAAAATAATAACAGCAAAATTATCACCAAAACAACAAATTGACAATACTATAGGCAATTAGAACCAATAATAATATTTTCTACTCCCATCTGTAAAATACCTAATTACACACCGATCTAGGCTGCGGGAAGCGTCACTTTACCACGTCAGTTTCGCTTTCCATGGATCCGAGCCACTTCGGACATTTCCGGGATTTTACCGCACGGGTTTCGAAGCAATCGGATGTTTTCGGAGATTTTACCGCACGGGTTGAATTTTGACGTTTGTCAATTCTGACGGTCATGTCAGTGAATGTATTCGTATTGTTTTGCAAAAATGTACACAAAAACTAATATAAAATGTTATGCAATATATCAGACAATTTAAATACTACGTGCTATAAGCTATAATTAAAATCTAGTGGACTAGTGCCGGTAAATAAAGTGACATTTATAATTTAAGTTTAAATTTTACATACCGTTCGCATAAAATTTTGTGGTTTTTACAATTTTTATATTAATATCTTGCCAAGACCAATTGTACGATTCTCAAATGTCCATGTATCATCAGTACAAATAAAAGAAAATTGAAGGGTAGGACCTGCTTTCTCTTGCTTAAATGCTCTATCTTTGAGTGATTTTTGTTTCAATTACAGTCTTTTTCTTTAAATGAAGTAATAATGATCAATTGTAAAAGTTAAATGTTTTAAAATTGTGTTTATTCCGTTGTTTATATGACATATCCAATAATACATGTCTTTCTGTCTAACGTACACAGTTAAAAAGAGACAAGCAACAGACCGAACGGAACGATAGACGAGTAAGTTTAATGGCAACTGGTAAATATGTTGTTTGAATGTAAGGAAATTTGGTAATTCGATAATCTGTTATTATTTGTTATTTATTAAATTGTGATTTTTCGTCGTAGAAAAAGTATATGCAACACGTTTGGTAAACTCTTTATCACTCATTTGTTAAGCACTGGCTCCGCTGCGCTCCGCTCGTGCCAAATAAACTCGTGAGTCAAATGCGGTTTACCACACTTGTTGCATAATATACTGTTTTTTACTCCATTTCCTAAAATACCTAATTATATACCGATCTAGCTTGCGGAAAATGTCACTTTACTACGTGAATTTCTTGTCCCACGGATCCGACGCCCTTCGGACATTTCCAGAATATTTCTGCACGGGTTTGGGAGCAATCGGATTTTTTTGGAGATTTTACCGCACGGCTTGAATTCTGACTCAAATGCCGTTTACCGCCCTTGTTGCCTAATATACTATTATAGAAATCCACCAAATGGCGCAAAAGCGATTATTTGACAGATTCTTTTATAGAAAATTAAAGAGTACAAATTCTGGTGTAACAAAGAATGTGGCGTTCTATTTAAATTAATAAATGAGATATAGGTAAAAAGATATCGTTTTGGCTTTTCACGTACGCGACCTCAAAAAGGAATTACCACCTTCATACCTATTATTGCTGGGTAAACTCAATAACCAATAATTTATGCATGTAAGGAGCGAGTCAGGTAGTTGTCGACATCGTTTCGGCTGATATCAGTGGCAGTGTTAGATAACCCGTTTTACCGTGCGTTTCTAAAAAACATCTTACCGGTATTGCACTAATGTTTTTTTCACTTATGTCGCTTTGAATTCACTTGTCATTAGATGCAAAACAAATTGTCATTTACGAATATTTAATAAGTTAGTTGTTTAATAATTAAGCCAGAAGCTCTCAACCTGAGTACTTACGAAAACGCCAATATTCCCGATAAACCACACTGCTTTCTGTGATTTGCGAAGGATGTTAAGGACTCTAGCTTGGACTATCATGAAGATACAAGTGCAGAACTTTTTTAAAACCAAGTAAAGTAAGTAACATGTGAGAGCAGAAAATGTTTAAACTATTTTAGGTTCCAAGTAGGTATAATAAATATAATTAAAAATGTAATTAATTTAATGAATTAATTTAATTAAAAATTTGCGCACAGAATATCATAGAGCCCATTTTAATTAATGTCTACTGTAGGAGTGTACCAGAATTAGATTTTGAATAGAGAAGCTTACTTATTTAAGTAATTCATCGTATTTTTGTTAGTACTGACGTGAGTATACCTAAATAAACATAATATAATACTTAATTTTTATATCTTTATAATATACCTTAAAAGTATATCCCTGATGCTCTGTCTTATAATGACTAGTCGGGTTTTTTATTATTTCGATAGTTACCGTAAAATCCAAGACAATATAGTCCATACTTGGTGGTTTTACTTGATCAGACAGTTTTACTGTAAATAAATAATTTTTGCGTATATGTGAAAAAAATAAAATTAAAGGTTGGCAATTTTAACAAAATTCATATTCTTAAAAAAATAATTTAAGGTTTAGGTTTAAAAAATACTATTCGATCATTTATTCCAAAAATGCCTCCCATTTATAGGAACAGATCATTGACAATTTTCCACTGAAGGTGGACATAATGGGCCACCATTTATCCTGAATGAATTTTCTTTCTCTTTTACATAAGCTGATTAAATTTGACATGGTTAGTTTAGTTAGTTAAAATTACTATTCCACCATTTTTGTTCTTGGTATTAGGTTATACAAGGATTTAATTGTGTTTAATCACATTTTCCATTTCCATGGGGTTGTGATTGTTTTAACTGGATATTCCTGCAACCATTTTGCAATATTTCAGCAATTCAAGTTGTTTTTTCTCTTTTCAAAAAAGTTAACTTTTTTATAATGTATGTAACGTAATGTTGGAAAAAGTTTGCTATTCAAAAACTAATAAAATGGAGGGGGATGACGAAGATATTAAACAATAAAACCATAGCAAAAGACATAATGATATAAAATGTTGTATTCAGAATTTTTTATGCCTTATTTTGGGGTAAAAAGCTAGATGGCAAAAATTGTTTTTCTTTAGATATGTTTGACGTATCGACATTGCTTTCCGTTTTCAGTTTAATAAAAACACAATTTTTATTAGATACTCTCACTTTTTGAAGCATGAATCTTAAGGAAATTAGGAATGTTTGATCTAATTTTCTTGCATGTTAGCGATATCGATTTTGATCTATTTTTAAACATTAATGCCTAATCATGTGTAAAGTGGTTCTAAATACAGCAGCGATTGAACTGGAGTATATCGTCGAGACGATCTTTGTTTTTGACTGATTTAATATACGGTTCATTTAACGTTTATGGGACAGATTGCTACTGAGAAGAGTTGTTTGTCTACCGTATTTGAAATTTGTTTCATAATTAATTTATTTTCTAGACGAGTATAGAAATAGAATTCTTAGATACATAGCTAAAACAAAGAATGAAATCGAGATAATACGCATATTTATTGCTTTTAGTACATCGTTTCACAATTTGACTAGAACATGTTAAACATATATGAGCATTCTTACATAAGAGGAGAATATACTTAAATTAATATAATAAATATAATGTGTATTTTTAAAATAATTTTCGTCAATGGACACAATTAGTTTTGACTCTACAAAATATCAAAATAAATCGTATTGTTTGTACATATTCTTATTCAAAAATATTTTCTAGAAAATGTTCATACTTAATATTATCACAAAAAATATGCTTCACGTGCATTGTCTACATCGTAGTAATTTAAATCTAATACCTAGTCCAATTGTTCTTCTACACCACATATACAAACCTATTTTAAACCAAAACTGACTACTGCGAAGGTGTTTATTAACTTTTATCACGTGCAATAGTCGACAAATAATTATAGGGTTTTTGAGAATATACAAGTAACTAGTCTTTTATCGGGTGCTTCTTCACCTTTTCCAATATATCAACACTATTGATATAGTACAAATAAATTTATTATCCTAGTTATATTTTTAATACCTGATGAAGGCCATCCAAATTGAATAAATTATCTATCTAATCAATAAAATTATGAATATACTCACATCTACCAACTAATTGGCTTTCAGTTGCTTCTTGTGCGCTATTCAAAATAAAAATATCTTGATATAGTAGCGTGTATTTGACATATAATGTATAAGTCGAATACTTGAAAATTATTGCAAATTTTAAACATGATAAATTAAAAATTAATAGTGCAATATGTCGCCATTTTACTTAGTCACTGTATAAATAAACAAAATACTGTACTCACAACCGATGTTTTAGTAACAATTGAAGGTCTCTTAGCCTTATTTAATCTTATATACAGGGAATTTACTAGTGTCTGTTAGAACTGATACAGCTGAATCAAGAAAATCTGTGATTTTTTAATCATGCAGTTTTAAACACTTATCGTTGATTTTCTTGTTGAAGAATGTGTTTTTAATTTATGACATTTTTTTTGCAATCTAGTAGATCATAGATTATATTATATTATACCTAACGCATTACAAAGCAAAAAAAAGACGGAAAAGAATCGAATGATGGAAAACAAATATACTTCCGTATCTTATGTTTTTTTACAATACCAAAAAAAAAGAACGAATTTAGTACCTAATTCAACCTTCTCGATGTTAATGTTAATGTTTGCTTCAACTTTGTGATAATTGTAATTGTAATTAATGAATTATAGAAATTAACTTTTAACCTGATTTTGTTCGTAGATTCAAACAACACTTTAAAATAATTTTCAAAAGTCGGAACAACCACATGGAACCTAATGAACAAACAAGCCGCCAGATAAAAGTCCATTTGTTGCACTCTCGAGTAAATTCTTTAAGGCCGTTTTCAATTTTCCCGCCATACTCCAGAAAATGAAAAAATCTACGGCCCAGGTAGACCTATGCCGTAGAACTCGACCCGCCCAAGTTGCTCTCGCTATTTCTTGCAGCGTTCTCGAGTTGAAGAGTCTGCTGCTGTTGTAGGAATTTCGCAGCCGCAGGAAAACCCTGCAAATCGAATCCTGGCGGTGCCACTATAGCCCCGGCCGCGCTGGCAGTTCCTGCAAAATCAGTTTTCATGGCATTATATTTTCCTAAATGCTGTGCCAACACCAAAGGGGATGATGAATATTGAGCTTATTTTTAGAAAAAAAAAGCTTCATATGTATCAAATTGTCTTAAATCTTATATTATCTCAGAAACGATTCAAGAAATCTTTGTGTAACTAATCGAAACATCAAAATACCAAGAAATTGAGATGGATTGGAAAACTAACAACTTATTTTAAGTAAACAAAGAATGATTTGATGATACTGACACTTATAAACTGTAATTTATTACTTACGAAAAACGCAAGAGGGGACTTTTAGAGATGACTAGCCTGACTGTCGAAGGAAACCATCTCTTTCTTCAAAAATGTGCGGAAAAAATCGCTTACAGGCGTCACGCCACTCAAAAAAGTTGTGTGTACCAGAAGTTGTCTCTAGAGGCACCAGAACCCGTTTACCAAATTTCATGGAGATTGAAAGAATTATCCCCCGACATGCAATTAAGGAGCAGCCTAGCTGACTTGAAAATTTTAAATTTTGAACATTTTGACTCCTTATTTGAGCTGTTGACGTGTTGCTAGTAATATTGTGATTTTTGGTATCACCAAGGCAATAACAAAAACTAACCAAAATCAACCAAAATTGAGTAAAATCAAGTACTAGTCCATATGGTTTATATGGTAATATAAGGTTATCTAGATCAGACACTCTTGAATTTTTCAATAAGAATAGTTACACTCTTGATGTCGTATTCGAAAAAAGATATATATTGTGTAGGTTATGATTTGTCGTGCATCTAATTCTGGTGAAAGGATTGAAGTTCTCCCCAAATCTTCAAAAATTTTATAGTTATGAACTCCCTGAAATATTTTTCCTGGCTGATGGTATGGTGTGTCTCAAAGTGTATTGTCTTGGCTTTTGACGGACCCTCCCCCAACAAGTTATTACGACATTACAACCAAAATGTCGACCAAGTGTCGGCTGATATCAGTGGCAGTGTTGCATAATCCGTTTCTAAAAAGTTTCTTACGAGTACATCATTATTTTTTTCCTTTAAAATGTAGTGGTTTTCAATCTTACCGTCTGAACAACAGAGAACAATATTCCCGTTATCAAAATTAGATTGTTCAAATGTCAGAGCACAAAATGTTACTCCCACTTTAAGTCCAAGTGTTATAAATTTAATTTTAAATGTAATTAATAATATATCTGTTGAAAGCTAGAAAAACAGTGCAGAACGTTTTAAAAATTTCCCATTGTCATTAATTAATCAATTAATCTTAATCACAACTCTGTGAGACAGAATTAAATTTTAAATAAAAACGCATCCATTTAATCAATTATGAGAACTAATGTGATTATGCATCAATAAACATAATATAATATTCAATGCTTCTATTTTTAAAACACAGGGCAGGTGTTTTATTGAAGTCGGATGTTTATTTCGATAATTGCCTTCATATGTTTTGAAACAGACCATAGACGTCGAATGAGTGTTATTATCTGTGACTTTCAACAAATTATTGTTGTGCTTATTGTAAAAACAGGTAATCAAAATATTCCCAATTCTTTTTGGTCCACTGTGTAAAATAAAACCGTCAATGGCGAAACTAACACAAAGATTTGCTACAGATTACAAATGTTTCAGGGAGAAAGTAGATTCTGGAGCAGGTAATTATAGTCCGCTATAGTAATTCACATTATTTGAAAATTGAAAATTGTTGACATCATAAAATTTTAATTTTTATTTTTTTAAAATAACGGTTTTTATCATTCGCAAAGTCGACAGGGCGACCATGTTTAGGTGCGGCGAGAACGGGTATATTCTAAAATCGAGAAATTTGGTTCGTTGATTTTCCTAAAATAATGGAATAAAATTAAATGAAAAAATGAACTCCACCATTCTGTCAACGTCTATTTACAATTGGCTTCTTAATACGAGGGAGTAACAATGACAGGCATCATTAAACCACGTGAATAACTTAGAAGTTATAGCAGATAAATTGCAATGATAGTTTTTTAAAATTCTGTATTTCAGTTTTTAAGACCTGAAACTATGTGACGGCTGCGTTACTGCGGATAGTATATGTATATGTAAATGTACTAATAATTGCACATGATTATAATTATAGAGATGACCAGATAATTGAGATAATTATCATTCGGAGATCAAGTAAATAAAAACTCATATTGAAATTAGAATAATATGAAAATGAATAAATTGTAATAAATTCTATTATTTAAAAAAATCTGCTATTAATATTACAACATTTGCAAATTTGGTCATCATATTACGAGTCGTCAGATAAAGTATAGTCGAGGGAGGCAGTCCACAGAAATACTACGGGGCTCTACAGTGTTTTCTAGCACATTATCAACTTCCTACATTCTTTCTTCTATTTTTTTCTACATTCCACCATCTTTAATCCCTCTTGCAAAACGATTTTAACGTCACTCATTTTAAAAGTGGTGCTACAAACCCTGTTACTTGCACCTATGCTAATTCTATGGGGTTTAATTCACATTTTATCGGCAACAATTTTATGCAAATTCACGATCTCCAGCAGCTCCTTTTTTAGGACAGCTTTCTGAAATTACTTCTTATTTAAAGAACAGCCAAAATTTATTTCTTCCTATACTCCTCTTTGGTGTCATATTCTTCGCATGTTGAGTTTTCGTTGCGAGAAGTTATGAATTGAGAATTCAAAGTTTCTCATTTTAAAAAAACGCAGTTTTACTAATGCGTTTCTTAGCAACAAAGTCAGAAGCAACGGCCCTTTTTAAAAACTAACTTTGACAACGACCGCCTAAAAGTAACTATGATCCATCTACCTGCCTGCCATTCTCAAATTCCTTGACAATCGCTAGCAATACTAGGCCTACGGAATACAACTAACAAAACTATTTACAATTCAATAATGATTAATAACTCAAATGCGCTTTGTCTCTAAAAAGACTTGATTCAAATGATTAAATAAACAGTTATTTAAGAAGTCTTTAATTTTGATGACATAAAAAACATAATATGAATCACGTTATCCCATGCACATTCAACCGTCCAGAGGAGTGGGAGCGCCGTTGGTTCAGTTCCACACGCTCTCTTACCTTGCAAATACGCGATAAGCCTCTTCATCTCCTCCAACGCGTTCGCCTGCATGAGGATGTAGTTCTTCGCCAGAAGAAGCGTCGCGATCTTGGACAACTTCCTCACCGACGGTGAATGGGCGTAAGGAATAACCGCCCTTAATTCATCGAGGGCGTCGTTTAGATCGTGCATTCTTCTCCGTTCCCTCGCGTTGATATTCAACCTCACCGATTTTCCTTGACGGTTCTTATTTTTGGAATTCGAAAAACCGGGATTCGATATCCGCGACTCGAGACACCTAGAACGTTAAAAAACCGTCTCACCATGACGTTATCAGCGAAACTTTGAAATTTCACTTACCTGGTGTTGTTCGGATCGGAACAACCCGGATCGGGATTATTTTCGTCCGACTGAGGTTCGCGTCCCGCGTTCTGTTGGCACCCTTGAAAGTAGAACCCGCTCAACTCGACCGCTCCCAATGGCGTTCTGCGACCGACAATCTGTGGTTCTTCTTGCGCGTTCGTCGACCCGAACGATGAAAAATTGTGCTGCTGTTCAGAGATATTTGATGAACTGGCTGCTCCCGCGTTGCCCTAGAAATGTGCGGTACCGTTTCACCTAAATTTCCCGAACCAAGGTGTATCAAATTACAATAAAGCTTCCGTCTAATATCGAAACTCTCGCGTAAAATTGATTTTGTCCGTAAATTGTTTTTATTTGTACCTTTTTGAGACGAATTCCACTGGCAGCTGGGTCTATGATATTTTAAAAACTAGAGTAATTGGGGCCCACTTTGACAAAAAAGTCAAATAACCCTGTGTGTTGTGAAAGTTACGCCGAAGCGACAATAAGTACGGTATAATGGTATTGCACGACCAAAAATATAGTGCATTTATTGTTTTGACGTTTTAAGTATTTTAGGCTGCCTTAACCGCAGACCTTCGCAGGACCGTGGTAAAACCCATTCCAACAGATGTTTATTCTGCATTAAATATGTCTTGCCTGAGATGGGCCGTAACGAATATTTGTAGAAACCTGAAATTTTTATTTGAAACGTAAATGGACCGTTTTTTGAAGTAGAAGCTTTCATTGCAATATGTTCGTATATATTACGGAGGTACGTATTTATGTACCTGACTCTCGAGCTTCGACCCTGCGAGGCTGCTGGATAGTTCAAAGGGCAAGGGTAAGTATTTGGACTATATTTATCTTACAGGTAAGTTTGAAAATAATCATTTTTGGGGTTGTGTGCCTGTCGATTAACAACATTCTTCTTCTTGTATTTTTTTGTCTTCTACATAGTTCTTCGATTTGTAAACAACAACAGTCTTTTTTAAGACTATAGATTATATTCGCGCCGAAGGTAAAGGTACGTCATAAGAATACAGCTAAATATTTATTAGAATCTTAAAATTAAATATTTTTTGAAGGTTGCTGTTTATTAAAACTTTTAAATGTAGAGATCTTGGAATGAAGCAGATGTTCCCCTGTTAGAAGACGGAGTGGAGATGGTAATCGAACCTAATGACAATTTAGAAGACGAACTACCTCAGCAAATAAAAAAACGGATCCATTTTTCTATGCTAAACAAATTGATTTGAATGTTCACAATTTTATAAGAAATTCAGAAGGAGAAGTAGGAGCAGCAATAAAAACAAGTGACATAGAATGTAATAAATTGTTACTTTGTACTAATTTTTGTATTAATGTTTCAAGAATTGCTCGGCGAAAAAGATTGAAAACATACTTATATCCCGCTTGTTAGTGTAGATAGATAAATTCCTAGGACAGTCCTGGGATGGTTACCTGTAAGGGTCTGTTCGGCAGGGTATTCTATAAGGGAATAATAAACAGTAGGCAAAGTTAATGACCGGATGGGTTGTAAAACCACTATAATTCTGGTCCAAGTATGCAATCCAGTGAAAACCGCATGAACATCAATAAAAGAACATAAAACTCAAAAAACACCTGAATTTATTTAATTAACTGTCTGTAATTTACCAAATAAAACGCTCGTTTATAATTTATAACTTTTTTTCACACTACCTTCGAGGGGCACAAAATTACATTCTGAAAATTTAAATTTATCATTATCACAAAAATAGAATAACGCATTCAAATTTGAATTCAAAGCTTTGTTTTTTCAGGAGCGTCGTCAGGTTCACAATCTTAAATATATACCTAGAGCATGTTTCTTTAAGTCAGAAGCAAAAAAGTGTAAATTGACAAATAAAGGGATCATTAAACGTGATGGACAACTTAAAGGTTATATCAAAAGTTCAGATATATTGCAATGATAATTTCCTTATTTCAGTTTTTAAAACCTACATAAAGTATAATTTAATTTTATACACTGCCTCGCAGGTAGGTCAACTATCTGCCACTCTTGAAATGCTTGACAATCATCATAGATGCAATATCACCCTTACGGAATACTAACTCGGAAAAATAAATTTTTAAAATTTTTGAAAAAAGGGTTCTCTTATGTCTTTTTTATTATTTTATGTTTTCTGGTTATGACATTTTTGTTTGGATGGGTTAAACTTAAACTTAAGTTCAAAAAGTGTGGCTTATAGTAATAGAAATATATTACCTTAACGTTAAAGTATCAGAAAACATAAAATAAGAAAAAGAGAATATTTTTGGCAATTAAAACATCGCAAAATAAAATTTAAATTTAAATTAGGCAATCAAAATCCAGTCCGTCCGTATTTTAGGTTCTAGCTCTATTGACGATCCTGACAAAAAAGCTGCGAATTACAATTTTCAATTGTCCATATTATTTCTATTGAAATTTTACAATAAGAAAGCGTCTACCCACTTAAAATATATTTCACATTGAGAAATGTAGCTCAAGAAATTACAGGTTATTATATATTATATTATTTTGCACCCTCGAAAAGTAGGGAAGTAATGTGGAAACAGCATCTTTTTTTTTCAAGAAAAATGTGCGAATCATCCTTTTTAAAGAATTATTTGAAAATGTGTACGAAGATCGAATGTAAGTGGAGCGAGTGTTTAAACGAGTGCCTTAAAAAGTTTACCAAACGTGTTGCATACTATACTTTTTCTACGACCGTTAGTTTTGGGTACATTTTGGGTACATTTTTGCATAACACAAATACATTCACTGACATGAGCGTCAGAATTGACAAATGTCAAAATTCAAGCCGTGCTGTAAAAATTTTTTGCATAATATACTTGCAAATACTGTAGGTATATAGATTGGCTTTACAACCAACGTAACTGTCACAACTCGTTTTTCAAATCTATTTTAACGTAAGGTTAAAAATTCCCTGAAAAATGATAATAATGATTACCGCCAACAAAGCGTATATTATCGGTGCAGTGAGCGCCTTTTAATCGATAACAAACCGGGGCCCTGGATAGAGCCCTATGCAAGCAGCTCCCAAAAATAACGATCTTACCGGAGCGCATTGCCATGCCCAGTTATTAGCCAAAGAGTTTCCTCGCAACCACTGCGGCGTTTGGATCGCGTCCCGAGAGATGGCGTGCGCTGTATCTTCGTTTTCGGAAGACGATTCGCATTCGAAGGGTTTCATTATTTATTTAATAAATTGTCAATAAACACCAACACTACGTCCAAACGGTCCTCGAGTTCTGAATATTTGATCAAACGTTCACCAACTAACATTCAGACTTCGTCGCCGTCAGAGCTAACTAAATTTTAGCCCCGCACCCGACAAGCTTTATTTTCCACTTTTCCGCGTTATCTTTGGATGAAAACATGCTCAACCAGTCGTACTCACTGTGCTTCTGGGTAATGTTTAGCTCGTCGACACAGTTTATTGTCGTTACACCATTTTCTCATCGTCAATCTCTGTCGATTTAGCACCCGGCTCTTTCATAACTTAAAAACTGATTCGGTGGCTGCGGTGGGGGCGACAACTATACAAAGTTTAGTTAAATCGTCAACCAGAACTCTTTGCACACGCTTGGAACTATTTGATGTAAAATTTGCCACTGCAACACTACTCAATGCTAGAATTGAAAAATTGACAGATGTGGTCCGCGAAAAGCTTTGGGGGTTAGAGCGCAGAGGCGGAGGCACGGTCGCGTCAGCGGGAGGCGTTTAGATAATTTTTTTAAAATAAACTTTCAATTTTTAAAAATGATGGTAATGTTTTCAATAGCATAGGGATTTTGGTATAAGGCTCATTTTTTAGTAAACCATTTTAAATTTCTTTTATATCTTACGAAAGGTAAAAAGTAAATTCTGGATATTTTTAACATCAATGGCGGTTTAATTATATTTGAGATATTTTTGAATTTGAAAAGTGTCTTCAATTAGTATGACGTGAAAATAAAAGCAATAACGATTTTTGACAAAAATTTTGACAAGGCGTTTCGAAGACACCTACGCGCATTTTTTTGTTTGGGATATTTATTTTTCGAATTATTTGTGCTCGTTTGAAATAGTAAAATAAGGCGGACAACTGTTTTTCTTAATTAATGGTTAATATTTATCGAATATTTATCGAAGTTTATATTGTATTAATTGATAACACTTCTGATTAGATTCAAAAAGAACCCAAAATTTCGATAATTTTAGAAAGAGTCAGTTAAAATATAGGTTAAATATGAAAACAAATTAAAGATGAATTTAAAAATTCTTAGTATATTAAAAATTGAAAAACTTCTGCAAAAATTAAAAACGAAATGATTTAGTTTTGGTTGGCTAGCGAAAACAATCCAAAATTTATTAGCTACTATTATTATTATTGTTATTATTATTATTACATATATTTATTATTATCACATCTTCCTCAAGGAATGTCAATTTCATTATTTTTGAATCAAATTAAACCCTAGCGAAATGTTATTATTTCACTAAATATTTACATTGTTGAATCTGTTAAATGTTAGCTAAACTATTTCTAATAAAACGGTTTAATAACGGGAAACAATAAACACTTCAAAATCGACAAAGGAAAACGCTACATAAATAAATCGTGGGCTTGCTCGTGTTACGCCACTGCCCGATATTCCGTCTCAGTTTTATTGTGAACACCCCGCACTAAACACCAACCCCAAAAGAGAACAAAGGAGGATGCTGTAACCATAGCGACAAGGGTGTAAGTTAACTACTTCAAAGTGCTGCCGTTTAGCGGCGTTCGGTTTAACTAACGACGTAACCGCAGCGTCACGTACTTTTTTTTATTTTTGATTAACTCCGGAAAAGCAAAAATTATTACTAGTGGTTGGGTTTTCTTCAATTGCAGCTACTAACATAAGGAACTTCTTGTTTTTCCGATAGGAAAAGATAGTGTAACTAACAAACCCCGATAATTTTTAAACGCTTATACTGAATATTTTAGTTGCAGGACGAAATCATGTTTATTTTATTTTCTAACATAGATTTTGAAAAATTTATAATAATCACTTTTGAATTTTTCTATCTTAATGTGGTGGTTTTAATTTTATAGAAACGGGCAACAAAGAAGCGTAAAGTTTCTTTGAAAAACTAAGAAGCGTAAAATTTCGGAACATTAAAATTTATTTCGCTAGATGTTACGAGGTTAGCGCCAAAATTTCCCGGCCTGCCTCATAAATATCCTAGTAGGTTGCGAAAAAAAAAATGGAAGTCTTGCGTCAAATAATTTTTTATTGACAGCATTTTAAACAAGACGTGTCCAAAAAAATGTCATAAAATAACGCAAATTGAGTATAGAGCAGTCATAAAGTTTTTGAAAAATGAAGGGTTAGCACCTAAAATTATTAAATAAAGGCTGGATGATGTGTACGGCCAAAGTTCTCCTTCGTCTTCTGTAGTGAAAGAATGGGCAAAACATTTTCGAATGGGGCAGGAGTCCCTTGAAGATGATTTAAGAACTGGTCGACCAGTGGAGGTCATAACGGAAGATATTGTTGCGATTGTGGAAGAGGTGGTATTGAGTGATTGACGTTTAAAGTTCAAGGAAATCTCAGAAATTACTAAGCTTTCTGATACAAGCGTTCGTCGAATTCTGCATGATCAATTAGGTATGCATAAGGTTAGTGCAACATGGGTTCCTAAAAACCTTTCGGCTATTCAAAAACAACGCCGTGTCGAGTGTGCGCGGTCTTTTTTGGAACTCTGTGGGTCGGAACCGAAGCCTGTGATAGAAACGGACGGGAGATGAAACTATGGTCCTCGATTATGACCTTCTATCGAAAAAAGAATCAATGGAGTGGCGTCGTAAGGGTGAAGCACCTCCAAGAAGATTCAGAGTCTCTCAGTCAACAAAAAAGGTGATTGCCACTATCTTTTGGGATTGTGAAGGAATTCTCTTTATAGATTTTAAACAAACTAATAGCACTGTCAATGGTAAATATTACGCAACATTATTACATAAATTGCGAGACTGAATGCGTGTAAAACGTCGAGGAAAACTGACCAGAGGCGTGTGTGTTTTGCACGATAATGCACCTGTCCATACTGCTGGTGTTGCACAAGATGCCATTTTAGAGTGTGGGTTCCAACAGATAGACCATCCTCTCTATAGTTCAGATATGACCCCCAGCGACTATTATTTGTTTGGATATTTGAAAAAGGACTTACGTGGACGCTGGTTTAACGACGAAGTTGAGTCAAAAGAGGCTGTTTTAACTCATTTTGCAGACAAACCAAAAGAATATTTTTTTTACAGGGATTGAGTTGTTAATAAAGCGATGTAATAAGTGTATTGAAGTTAAGGGGGATTATATTGAAAAATAATAAAAAATTGTTACTCTATTTTGTTTCTTTCATATTCAGGCAGGGAAATTTTGGCCCTGCCCTCGTAAATGGCCATCAAGAGTTATCACGGATAGACGTTACGATGATGTTATAATATAATTATATCAAGGATGTCGGATTAGAAACGATGACATTAATCTTAAAATCTTACAGAAATTAACAATTTAGGAAGTAACAATTTAAACCAAAAAAGGATAGACAAAAAAGTGCCTACACTTAAAAAGCTCAGGAAAATCATTATTTCTGTTGTTGTTGAAAAAGGATTAAAATACGGAGTTACGGGTTGCGATATCTAAAAAAGCGTTCAAACCAGTCAACGTTCAACGAAAAACCATAATTATAATTATGCTGTTTAAACATATACGTTATTAATCTAGAATGCTCTTTATAGAGACTGGACTATTTAACTAGATATATGATCAAATATGAAACCTTCAAAATACAAGTGTTGCCACGAGAAGTGCCAGCAGCCTTATTGTACACCAGACGCATTGTGGGAAAACTTAAAAACATGTTGCATTTATTGATCCCATGATCTATAATGTTTCTTCCTAATGAATTTAAAATTAAAAATTATAATAAACGAATCAGAAAATAAGTCATCTGAGTATATGAGAATAGTTTAATTCTCACTATTCTATTGAGAATAGTAGATTATGCAATAAGTATGGTACATAGCATTTGAATTATGAGTTTATTTGGCACGTGCGGAGCGAGTGTTTAATAAACGAATGACTTAAAAAGCTTACAAACGTGTTGCTGCTATACTTTTTCTACGACCGTTACTGTTTGGTTCCATTTTCTCAAAACAACACTAATGCCTTCCGAAAACATCCGATTGCTCCCAAACCCGTGCGGTAATATCCCGGAAATATCCGAAGTGGCTCGGATCCGTGGAAACCGAAACTAATGTGGCAAAATGACACTTTCCGCACGCTAGCTAATTGTAAAATTAGATAGTTTGCAGAAAGGAGTAAAAAAAATATTTTTTCTTTCACGGGCTTTAGGCAATATGTTGTAAATATATTTTCTTTTTAGATCACACATACACCAAACTTTTGGTTCATCTGTATGAATACCAGTATGAATGCCAGTTTAGAATACCGCTTGCACTTTGCGTCCTTTTATATAGAGAGTGTATTTTTTGGATCTATTCCGCTACATTGAGCTTCGTCCAAAACTTAAAAATTAAAATTTGATATTTGTCGATATTGTAGGGACTGGTTTACATAAGGACATCAAGATTGATACACTGGAGCATTTTGGAGGCTAGAAAATATAAAATTTTGCATATTATGAGGAGAGGATGATGTGCGCGCTTTTTGTAATGAATAAACCTGCAGGACAAATTGTTGCAAATTATTTTATGTCAATTTTAGAACAAATCGCTAATAACATCTACAGATTTCTATCGCAAGAAGTTTAGTAGCTTATTTAAAGTTTTCGAGAAAAACGAGTTTACGTGTTCTTGGACATATTCAGCAAATTAAATTATTAAATAATTATTATAGATGATATCTACAAGCCAAACCTCTGAAGCTATTGACTAAAATACAGGAACTATTAGTTAAAATTAATCAAAATCAATTAATATCACTATACCGAAGATTAATGTCTCAGGTTCTTAAAATATTTTTAAGAATAAATCATAGAAAGTGCAGTTAAAATTAAAATTAACGGAAAATGCTCAAGAACATTCGATATGCTGACGACGTTGTATGCTGGTGGCAGACAATGAACATGATTCACAACACACGATGAATCGTATAATTTGAACGCGCTCTCTGTAAATGTTGCGAAAACCAAAAATCTTGCTTTCACCACAAGACCCATATCTATGTGTCTGGAACAGGTTCCTTCACCCCCTAAGAAATCAGATACAGATTCGAACAGGCCAGAAAGGATTTTGTAAAGGTCAGATTTTAGTATAGTACTCTGTATCTGTATGGCTAAATGCTATGTTTTTTTCTGTCGTGCTGGGATGTGGAAGCTGGATCCTCGATTCATCTATTCAAATGAAAATAAATGCATTCAAAATATATGTGTACCGTCGTATATTACATAATATCATGTGTTCAAAAAATAAGGATTGAAGAAGTCCTTTTTTGAGGAATAAACAATACATTACCAACCAAAAAGTTAACAACTAGTGTCCTTCAGGAAAAAAAACATAAGTAAGAAATAATAATGATAATAATTCTCTTCATGCGTGTGATATTTGCGATATTGTTATGATCATGCAAAGAAGAGG